ACAGTGGGTGGGGAGTGAGGGCGGAGGGTGGGGTGGGAACTGGGAGGAGGGGAGTTATGGGGGGAAAAAAAGAGGAACAAATGTAATAATCTGAACAATAAAGATTTAATAAAAAAAATAAAAAAATAAAAGATTCCCATGTGATTCTAATGTGCAGCCAACGTTGAGAACCACTGGATTAAGGCGTCTTCTGATTTACAATATAACACTTAGAAGGGAAAAGCCGGCGAGATAAAATGGATTTAACTGCGTGTTAAGGAGTTGAGCACAGCAAAGGAGAGGTTCATGCAGATGGCCGGTGGGTCAAAGAGAAGGAAGGAACCTGGACCTGGAATCAGGGAAGAGAGGGGACAAGAGAGTGGGGGGTGGGGGGGAATTTATTTCTATTAAAAAAGACATTGGGGTCATGAATAAAGAAAGAGAAGTAGAGGAATAAGCACTGAGAAGGCCTGAATTACTAAAAAGTTGACTATGGAAGAAGGCAAAAGAGTTTGAGTTGGGATATGGGAGTTTCAGTGGCTCCTGGATTGGCCCTCCCCAGGGTTCACCGTCCCAGCAGGAACCCCGTCTCTCCCCAGTCCTGGTCTCTAGCCCTGCTTTCCAGTTCCAGCTCGCCTTTGTCTTCCAGCAGTTCATCTTAGGTAGGCAGTGACTTTTTTTTCTAAATTACTATCTATAGTTTAAGGAAAAATAGTAATGATTGTGTAACCAAACAGCTAAAAGTATAATCACAGGTGTTTTAACAATTCCCTGATTAGTACACAATCCACAGAGCAACATGCCTATATGAATAGATCAAGTACATTGGCCTTGAAACACTATGGGTGGCATAGAAGTGGTCCAAGCAATTATTCAAGAGACCCAAGGATGGTCACATCTTCCCAAGCAAAAGAAGAGATTAGACATTTTCTTATGTTTTACATAGAAATTCACATATGTTATTGTACAGACAGTAGTTAGTTATTCAACTTCATTAAAAAAAATAAATTCTAAAAGATAATGAATTGTTTATTATTCATTTTCTATACCTGCATAGGCACAAACTAAAGGCATTGAAGTTCTTGCTATTAGAAATAATAACCAATTAATATATGGTAATTCATGCTTCCTCTTATTTTCTCTTTCAGTCCCTACCAAAACCTTACATTGTCAATGCAGTAAGAATGATAGAACAAATTTTCAATTAGGGAGCTCAAGGCATAAATCTAGAAACATACTATTAAATGTTGGGGCTACATCAGAAAACAAAGATAAAAAACCTTCATGGACCTTAAAATCTCAGATTTGTGTTAAAATAGGTATAATTATGGCTTTGAAAATTATGAATGAAGCTGCTCAAATGCATATTCATAATAAAGTATGTTCTTAAAGAACTGCATTAGTAGCCAGGGGATTTGTATGTTCTTTTTTTTAATTTAAATTCTTTATTGTTTAAAGTATTACATAAGTCTCCTTTTTCCCCCATTGACCTCTCCCAGGCATATGCATGCATACAAGTCCTTCGGTTGATCTCTTACCCTACCCTCCACCACCCAACCCTCCCCAGCCTTCCCGCTGTACTTAGACTGTTCGATGCTGCTCTGCCTCTGTATCTATTTTTGTTTATCAGTTTATAATGGTCTTTATTATCCATAAATGAGTGAGATCATGTGGTATTTTTCCTTCATTGACTGGCTTATTTCACTTAGCATAATGTTCTCCAGTTCCATCCATGCTGTTGCAAATGGTAAGAGTTCCTTCTGTTTTACAGCAGCATAGTATTCCATCGTGTAGATGTACCACAGTTTTCTAATCCATTCATCTGCTGATGGGCAGTTAGGCTGTTTCCAGATCTTCACTATGGTAAATTGTGCTCAACAGTGACTTTTAAAAAATTTTTATTTTTCAATTACAGTAGACATACAATATTAGTTTTGGGTGTGCAATATAGTGATTAGAAAGTGATCACCCACTAAGTCTAGCAGACATATGGCATCATTCATAGTTATTACAATGTTATCCACTATAGGCAGTGACTTCTTGATGATGATGATGATGATGATGATGATGATGGGGGGGGCCGTGATGTTGGTGGTGATGACAATGGAGTGGGTAGAACATTTGACAAGTTGCTGGTGCTCATTGGGGCCAGGATGCTCTGAGAGACCAAAATTACAATGAAACTGCAAATGCTCTTAGAACAGTGTAAGAAAAGAAAAGAAAAGAAAGAAAAGAAAAGAAAAAAGAAAAGAAAAGAGAAAACAGATACTTGCAGCAGGTCAAGGAGATTTACCAATCGGGCCTGAGACACAGCCTCTCCCTCAGTGGGGGAGGTGGTGTGGACACGATGATATTTTAGACCCTCTGTTTCTCCCACCTTGTGTTCTGTAGACTTTGGTTCAATAAGATGGACTGGTACACTGAGCCTTTGTGGTGTGGATTACTGGGCCCATCTGGGCTCTGGGTGCCTGGCTTCCCTTCCCCATGAGCCTGTCCTCCAGGAACTCAGGGAGCAAATCTTCCATTGCTCCTCCTGCTCGCTCACTGGGCTCCCACTCTCCGGTCCAGTCAAGTCCCTGAGACCTCAGTGCCCAATAAGCTCCCCTGGGACACCCGGGGGAAG